TATCAAAAGATTTTTTTATTTGTCAGACTTGTCTGCCTAGACAATGAAAAGTTATGCAGGATGAGGAAAATAGTCTTCGTTTCATAGAACGCATCTGCATTCTGCAGCGCACCTAGCATTTGGTAGTTCTTCCCCTGCCCCTCTGCCCCTCTGAAATGCAAGTATCACTAGCCGATCAATTTTTTGACAATAGCCAAAAGTTGCCTCTACATATAAAGATTGTGAATTGAGTGAAGGTTTACAGAGCAAGTCAGTTTTCCATTCATGTCGTTGATAGCAATCCCCACAATGTAACATCACCTGTCTCACTTCTCTCCTGTATTTTGTTTCCATTCATCCTCCTTGACTAACTAACTCTTCTATGTTCGTGGGAAAATACTGCACTCTTGACACCTTGGCATACACTTTCAACTCTAATTTTTATTACTTATTTTCATCCATCCTAAAGCCCACACACTTAAAAATGTTTGTTCTATTTGTCTTAAAATCAATAGGAAGGTTTTGTTATTATTTCACTGACATATTTTTGGCACATGAAATTGTCTTAAATCAGTAGTGGTTTAGAGTTGGTAGAATACAATACTAAGCTTATGCCATGATGGCTTAAATTGATTCATTCTGAAAAAATGGAAACGAAGAATGGATTGGAGGGACAATGTAGGGAAAGAATACATGGGGCTTGGTGATTAAAGGGTGAAGCAGCTGTGTGAAAGAAGAGTGATTTTGTTTTCATGGGACACTTGAGGGTCAAGATAAGGAAGATGAAAATGACCCCTTTTCCTTTGGACAGTTTACACAATGATGAGGCTGCATTAGGAATGCGGCCAAAAGACCAGGGTGTACCCCAGTAGGTTTTTATCTGCTTTGTTCTTACACGGTCTGTGGGGCATCGTTTCTCAGGTGTCTGAATTTGTTAAAAGCACAGAGCAACAAAAGGCAGAGCTTTCTGCCAGAAGACTTTCAGCCTCCAAATCCCAGGTTTAGCCTGTACTTACTTCTCTGTTGTGAAAGGCCTGATTCTGGACTGTGAGGAAGATTTACAACAGCCCAACCCTACCACTAAAGCTATTAGAAATACACACGCAACTTCCTGGCGATGGCTTTAATCAGTGATAGCAGGCTAGAGGAGGGCAACGAATCACTTTCAGTTGTTCTTGGCCTTTTTCTGGTGGGGGGGGGAGTCTAATTTGAGGAGAGAATATAAAAACTGATTTCTAAGGAGAAAAGAAACAAAACTAGGCCGCCGAGGACATTGCCATCAGAAGGGCTGTCAGAGGCCAGCAGGAAGGGTTGAAGTCCATCTCTGAGTTTCTCACCTGGGCTGCGGCTCCGTGGGGAGCACATCAGAGGGCAGCCAGACCTCACTCCGGAGAGGCGGCTCCATGCCCACAGTGACAAATACAGAATGGACTCAGTACTGGGAGACGGGGGAATGGACTTTCGGCACTGGGCGATGGATGGAGGTAACTGGCTTTCTTATCTCTCTGCCTCAGAATCTCAGTCACTGATAGAAAATGCTCTAAAGGAGAGTGATCTCACAAGTCAGAGCTCTTAGAGCAGTGTGTACAAGATATTATATAGAGTGGAGAAAGAGAACTGAGTTCTCAAGTATAAAGTTACTGAGGGAGAAGCGGGGTGCCTCACTGGTGTGGTGGAAATTAATGCCCTTGTCTCATCGTGTATTTCAGACCGACACCTTGGGGAAACAGTCTTTGAGCGGAGGATTCACTAAGGACAAGGTAGGTTTTCCATTAAATAGAGCTCCGATTCTGAAGTCATGTGGAGTGTTTCCACAGGCTGCAAATGTGAACTTCCAGCCGTAGAGATGCGAGGTCTTAGACTTGGTGTTGACATGACCCCTAGAATAGTTTGAGTCCTGGGGCAGGAGAAGAAATGTGAAGAAAATGCCATGATACCCTTTGTTTCTTTGAGGAGTAGCCTTAACACCAAATAAAAAGATACTTGCTCTGTGAATAATTTGCAAAAAGGAGCCACCCTTGATTGAATAGCAGTTAAATTAAAAGTAACATCCAAGTGTATGTACGGATTGTGATAAGAGTTGTACGAGCCCCCAATAAAATGATTTTTTTAAACGATGTTACCATATGATGGTAACAAATGTACAGATGTGCTTGACACTGGATGGATGTATGGATTGTGATAAGAGCTGTAAGAGCCCCAATAAAATGATTTTTTAAAAAACCAAGTATACCAGGAGGGAAAGGGGATGTAGTAAGGGGGAATGGATCACAGGGAGCCACATATAACCTCCTCTCTGGGGGACGGGCAGCAGAGGGGTGGGTGAAGGGAGACGCCGGACAGTGTA